GGGGGGGGGGGGGGGGGGGGGGGGGGGGGGGGGGGGGGGGGGGGGGGGGGGGGGGGGGGGGGGGGGGGGGGGGGGGGGGGGGGGGGGGGGGGGGGGGGGGGGGGGGGGGGGGGGGGGGGGGGGGGGGGGGGGGGGGGGGGGGGGGGGGGGGGGGGGGGGGGGGGGGGGGGGGGGGGGGGGGGGGGGGGGGGGGGGGGGGGGGGGGGGGGGGGGGGGGGGGGGGGGGGGGGGGGGGGGGGGGGGGGGGGGGGGGGGGGGGGGGGGGGGGGGGGGGGGGGGGGGGGGGGGGGGGGGGGGGGGGGGGGGGGGGGGGGGGGGGGGGGGGGGGGGGGGGGGGGGGGGGGGGGGGGGGGGGGGGGGGGGGGGGGGGGGGGGGGGGGGGGGGGGGGGGGGGGGGGGGGGGGGGGGGGGGGGGGGGGGGGGGGGGGGGGGGGGGGGGGGGGGGGGGGGGGGGGGGGGGGGGGGGGGGGGGGGGGGGGGGGGGGGGGGGGGGGGGGGGGGGGGGGGGGGGGGGGGGGGGGGGGGGGGGGGGGGGGGGGGGGGGGGGGGGGGGGGGGGGGGGGGGGGGGGGGGGGGGGGGGGGGGGGGGGGGGGGGGGGGGGGGGGGGGGGGGGGGGGGGGGGGGGGGGGGGGGGGGGGGGGGGGGGGGGGGGGGGGGGGGGGGGGGGGGGGGGGGGGGGGGGGGGGGGGGGGGGGGGGGGGGGGGGGGGGGGGGGGGGGGGGGGGGGGGGGGGGGGGGGGGGGGGGGGGGGGGGGGGGGGGGGGGGGGGGGGGGGGGGGGGGGGGGGGGGGGGGGGGGGGGGGGGGGGGGGGGGGGGGGGGGGGGGGGGGGGGGGGGGGGGGGGGGGGGGGGGGGGGGGGGGGGGGGGGGGGGGGGGGGGGGGGGGGGGGGGGGGGGGGGGGGGGGGGGGGGGGGGGGGGGGGGGGGGGGGGGGGGGGGGGGGGGGGGGGGGGGGGGGGGGGGGGGGGGGGGGGGGGGGGGGGGGGGGGGGGGGGGGGGGGGGGG